GAATTCTGACCCATGATAACAAAGTGAAACTGGCTTCAAAGAGGCATACCGTGGTTTAAATTGTTTTTGCACTTTGCTTTTTAAGCAGAACCACATCCATCAATTTAGGTTTCCCACACCAGCTGAATTCAAGGCATGCCATGAGAGAGCACAGTTGCTTGTGCTCTAAGCCGAACTGTCAAGCCATCAAGACTCTGGTGTCCTAACTGATCACATGTGTATCACCATGGCCACTGCAGGGTAAGAAGGCAGATTCCATGGTTATAATAGATAGGAGGGTTATATTCCACTTTAAAACGTTTAAAATGGCTAACAGTTTTACTTTTAATTAAACTGCATGTGTGCCAAAAACACTGCTGCATTGCCGAGTGATCATGTATACGGAATTCATATATCATACTAATGTACCGTATATGTCTTAGGAATCATTCTAGTTCTACACTGGACAAAAAAATCTGCTCTGCCATCAATGAATTCTATTACTGGGGAATTTGGTTGTCTACTGTCTTTAGTAACTAAAGAGAAGATGAAGTCTGAGAACACATATCCATCTTTACCTGATAAGAGATGGGGTGAGAAATGAGGAACAATTCATGTGATTACATGGAGGTGATGAAACTTTGATGGGAAAGAACATGTCTCTAAGTGTTCTGAGATACCACACAACTCACCATTTTAAGTTATGTTTAGGATATGCAGCTACTCCTGGTTCTCTGAGCTTCCATGGAGTACTCACTGGGATTAACAATTCTAGATTTCTAGCTTTGAAGAATAAAATAAAGCTAGAGAATTCTTCACAATACTACATATGATATACATGAAATAAGTGGGATATTCAGAAAATAAAAAGCACACCTCTCAGCTAATGTGGTATGCACTAAGCATGCCAAAAGAATGACAAAATCTACTTCCAGCAAACTATGAGAATGACTAGTGCTGATGGGGATCTACATAAAGGCCTCTTTCACAGTGACCTTTCTGACTGCTGAACACATACAATCCTGAGGACCAGCAGAAGTGATAAAAGTTCCCCTGTGATATTGTGCTTGTCAGACGTGATGATAGTCCATGCGGTTAATTTACATTTTTTGTTCTCAACAAATCTTTCTTTTGAGCTCTATTTCTAGTCCAGAGTGTAATATGAAACACACTGATACATTTCTTTCTGAATCCTTTAATGATTTTTTGGTGTCACGAAGATCAAAGCTGGTTTGACAGCTTGATGAATGTGTTCTTATTTTAAAATTCTTCGGTATTCTGTAATCATGTAGCATGTTTAACAATACAGTACATAATAGAAGAAACACAATGTTTAGTTTGCTATGTGAAAATCACAAGGAATTACATGCATACCTGTGCAGCTATATTTGTGTTTTTATCACTGCAAATTCTTAATTGGGATATTGTGTATCTGTAATGTGTGGATTTAACTATGGGAAGCATGGATTTGCTTGGATATGCATTTACAGATTTTGCAGTACATGATAATTTTCAAACATATTAGGCTTCACTCACAGGCGTTGACACCCGTACTGCGTTCAGGCTGCGTGCAAGAGTGGGTGCATGGATTTGAATGTAGGTAATGTGCATTTGGATCTGTGCACCTGCTTGTGCTTTGGTTATGATTAAGCACGAGATCGTGTGAAACGCGTTAACAAGTCCTGTATTCACGTCCTGGTGTTTTGTGTGTCCTATGGATCAATAAATACACACTATATTCATCTATCCTCCGGTGTGCGGCTGACCCTTCTTCCTGTTGCATCGTGTGTGGTGGCGAGCCAGAGCCTGCATCTGTTGTGGATTGATCTGGATTGTTTGCCTGAGCGATATACCTTTGTTCTTTGGACACCCACTTAGACACACATCAATTTTTTGACATGTGGCTGCTGCATCTGCATCCACCCCTATAAGCTGCCTGCAGGTAGCTTGCAGCAGATGCAGGCACAATAACAAATTCAGCCTGCACACAGAAAGGCGGTCAACATCTGTCTGATATTAAAATGGAAGACACACAACCTGCAATAAAAAAAATCTCTTTTGTGCTAAAAAAAAAAAGGGTGCTTTAATTGCTGCCTATCACTGGAGAGATTGTGATACCAGTGCCCAAAAATAAAATGAACAGAAATCTCCTCAAACACATCAATTAAAAAAAGCAAAAATAAACAAAACTAAGTTTTAAGCCTTCTAAACTGGAACAAAAAATAGGAAAATGTTTTTGGTTGCTGGCTGTTAGAAGATCAATATTTGATCATTTGTTCTCCATGCACACATGGGCATTTATTTCCATCAGGCATGTTCAAGTAGATCTATAGGCAAAACATTTTTTTTCATTTCGGAAATATATATATTTTTGCTATATGACAGGAAGTGAAGGGGAATCTCCACAATGGGACATAGATGGTGAAAAAAAAAAATCTGACCTAGGTTATAACCTTCTCTAAGGCTGGCCATACATTATACAATTTTCTTACAAATTTCGGTCCAATTTCTGCCCACTTTTCTTTAGATTTACCTTCAACTATGTAGTGCAAGGGCCTGCCAAATTGGATGCAACTGAAAGTGTTCTTTAGGTTTGACCTTATATTGTATGCTTTTTGGTAAATCTAAAGCAAAATTCTCAGCAAAAATTGTATAATGTATGGCCAGCCTTAGGGAGGGTTATAACCTAGGTCAGATTTTTTTTCACCATCTATGTCCCATTGCAGAGATTTCCCTTCACTTCCTGTCATATAGCAAAACAGAAAGTGAGAGGAAATACCTTCAAATTAGGAGAATTCCTTGGGGGGGTGTCCCCATTGGAATTCTCCCAGTGGGGACACCTTCCCCCACCTCCTCACCAGGAGAATACAATGGCTCAACAGGGGGGATTCCCCCATCAACACTGACTATGTTGATGAGGAAATCAAGCGTTTTTCTTTTCTGAAACGTGGTTGAACGGCTTTAGACAGATTGCACAACAAGCAGTTGGTTGATCAGACTGAACAACATGACAGTGAAGAGACCAACAAACATAGACACCAAGATACACTGACAGGTTACAGCCACATGGGAATTTATAGGTTTCCTTAAAATGTATCCAAATCGAAAAAATAAAATGTAATACGTTGTGTGATATGAGCCCCTAGATAAGGTGATTGTGTCAGTTTTCTTTATCCCTTTATTGAAACTTGGATTCAGTGCGGAATCGGTGCGGTTTGAAAAAAAGTCATGTCCCATTTCTGAGCAGTGCTGCTTGGTTCAGAAAGGGATTACAGGCTATTGACTTCTATGGGAACCATTTCTATCAATTATGAGAGCTAGTCCTGTCCTGAACCTGATGTAAATCTGACCTGAACCGCTGAACAACTACTGTATCAATTAGCTGTGAAATCTGAGCTTCAATATGCACCGCACATGTGTGAATCAGCGCAGACTGTGTTTGTGCCAAGGATTTTATCATTTTGATTGCAATCATTAAATATTCTCTGAATATATAAAACAAAAAAGGTACGGCACTATAATTACAAAACTACAACTAAACATAAAGTGTAAATAATAAATAAATTATCCTGGGGAGCCATGGCCACCTCAGATGGCTGAAAGATGGCTTCCTTTCAGCCATCTGAGGTCGCCATGACTCCCTAGGATAATTCATTGTTTTAGGTCTATATTTGGCAATTTATCTGAAGTATCAGCTGGGGACTAATGCCTTGATTTGGGAATCTAATGAGAGGGATACAATTGGCGTCTATCTACATCCAACATTTGGAGTTCACCTTATCCTCCCAGAGTCAACAGTGTTGGGAGTTCGTCATCCGAATTTGATATCCGCACTATGCTTTTCTTGACCGGCACTTAATTGTGTGGTTATTCAAGTCTGGAAAGAGGCAGTATTTTTTGAGGTGCTGATGATGGTGGATTCCCAAGGCGTTTTTTTTTTTAACTATTTGAATCTTTATTTGTCATGAGAGACTTTTTATTTTATTTTTATTCTTTTTTTCTGCAAATCATTGGACATTTTCATTTATTATTTACTTTATGTTTAGTTGTAGTTTTGTAAATATAGCACTGTACCTTTTTTGTTTTATATGTTTTATGTATTGATACCTGTGATACTGTGCTGGCTGCTTTTTTTTTTTATTTTAAATTACATTTGAACATATATAGCGTGGAAATGTTACATTGTTCATTATACTCTGAATATGCAACAGCAAGTCTTCCCAAGAATGAGCTCATTAATAACCAGCCTATAACTGATTTTTACTCGAAATCTTACTTTCCATTTATGACAAAACATTTGATCATTTGATGTGTTTCTAATATTTTTGTTGAGATAATATATATATATATATATATATATATATATATATATATATATATATATATATATACACATATATATATGATAATATCATGGTCCAGTCTAATACAGTTCACATTGATTAACTAATAAATGTAAAAAAATATATATATATTTATCAGATAAGGAGTATGTCAGCATTTATTAAACAATAAAAGAAAAAATGCATGTAAAGCAAACCAAGCTGACAATATTATCTAATATAGGGACTTCTTTAGGCTGGAAGCTAGATTATTCAAAGCAAACTGATGTGCAGCACCTCATTAATCCTATTATTAATAACAACAGGCTGGTGCAGCTAACCATCTGGGGCTTTTCAAGAACAAAATCATGGGTGTGAAAAAAAAAAGAGATTAGTAAACTAACTGTGTAAGATAGTAGCATTGAACTGCTATCTTTTTTTACTTCTTTATCATTGCCAGCATTGTAAGTTTATGTTATCTTCCGATGGTGTGTGAACAATGACACCAGATGGCATTTATAATATACAGATTAGTTGTGCTTCTGTTATACTGAATATCTCACACAAATTGAAATCTTTTCAAGCTATGCTTTGGTTGTAGATGCATATCAAATTGATGACAGCATCTTTTTTAACATTTGTTCTAGTCTCAAGATTGCCATTTTGTTTTCACAAACTGAAACAAGAAATCAATAGTACCTGCTGAGATCTCAACCTGGCAGCATCTATCTCTTCAACCATTTGTGTGAGGGTGTCGCTTATTAATCTGTAGCGCTCATTGTCTACTGTCACCATCTTGTCAAGGCCTCCTCTGACTCTCCAAGGCACTAGTTCCAACAAAGCGCTGCTAACTTCATTGAGGGAGTCCAGCACTGCCTTGTTTGTTCTGGCTTCTGATTGAAGTTCCTGAAAAAGAAAACACTAAGGATTAACAACACCTTAGAACATATCTAAACCTCAAAACAAAATGTAATATTTGCTCTATTTTGGCCTCTTCAGTACGGTATACCTTTTAAAAATGTTTTGTTATATCTGTTAAAGAAGTTCAAAAAAGCATCTGTGGATCTTGCCAGAATCTTTTGAGCTAATAAATTCCTATGCTTTTTAATTGTGCTGACTCCTATCATATACATTGTTCTCAGGCATCTATGAAGACTACGGAGCCAAGTCACTTTACATTATGTATCATAAGAGAGGGGCCATGTTCTGTAGTCCTATCTTGTTTCCGTTGTCCTGATACAATGTAGTGAGTAAGTGTTGTCATGCTAGGACTGGAAGCATTGTAATGACGTAATCAAAAGCTTGAGAAAACAAAACTAATGAAGCACTTCATATAAGGATTGCTAAATTGTAATTTTTTTGGGGGGGAGCACTGATGAAGGGAGGTGGTCTCCCAAAACGCGTTCCCTCCCAATCCACCCAAACTATTCCTCAAATACAACCATATTTGATGAAACATATTCCCACATTGTCTAGATTCCGAAAATGGCTACGCCTCCAAAAAACAGGGACAGCTGGGAGTAATTCCAAAAACAAGTTACCCATGGCAATCAATGAGATTCCAGCTGCCTGCTCTAGTGCAGGTTTTTAAAAGAATAACACAATATCAGGGGCGGACTGACAACTCATGGGGCCCCCGGGCAATAGGGGATCATGGGGCCCCTGTGTCCTTGCCCAAAATCAAAAAAGCTTATTAAAAAGGTACCAGGGGCATCCCATGGGGCCCCCTACTGACCCCGGGCCCTCGGGCAGTGCCCGACTTTCCAAATGGTCAGTCCACCCCTGCGCAATATATTTTACTGTGATATATTTAAAGTAGAAGTAAAGTCTTATTTAGAAAAAGCACTGACATGAAAGCTTTTTATGACAGAAGAGACTACGCAAGTCTCTTCTGTTATAAATGCATCTCCCTGCCTGTCAATGTTTTCTTTCTCTGAGTATACCCTGAGCCGCACAGCCCAGGGTATATTCCCAGCAAGATAATGTGCCAGGATGATGTAACTACCATATGGATAGGCAAGAGTTCTTCCATTCCAGCCAATAAAGATGGCTGAAAATTCTAGACCAGGAAAAAGTGAAGATGAATGCGCAGATGACAAGGGAGAACGTGGCTGTCCCATTGCTGGAGAAGGGAATAATGTAAACATGCCATCATGTGCAAATAAGCTCAGCATACTTGCACAATCTGGCAAAGCTCTCGGAATCCCAACATTCATTAGCGGTTTATGAAGAGGTTTACTTCTGCTTTATTAAACCAAATTGGAGAAAATAAGAAGTTAATTGTTAGGGTTTATATACACTTTAACTATAAAGTACAAAAAGCGATGGCATGCGGTAACCTATAGAAACGTAGCTGTGCTTATTTTACATGGGACAAAATATTAGGAGCGTTATCAAATATTATTGCACACCATTTATGTACTAAGCTACTAAACAGACTCAAATCTTTGTATAATTATCTTTTACCTTCTTTCTTTGTTCAATGGTGTTCAACTCCTCAGGTTTATGGCTCTGCAGATCATAGTTCTTCAGTTCTACTTCCACCTTGTCCAGCCACTGGCTCAGCTGTTCATGTGTTGAATGGAACTGTGTTGCAAGGTTTAATGCCTGTTCTAAGACTTTGGAAACTTTTGAACTCAGGTTTGATATTTCCAAATATCTTGATTTGATTCCATCCAACTTTTCCTGTATAATGACCACTTCATCACCTAATCAAAAATTGAAATTAAAATGATTAAGGCACATTTTACCTGAAGTGTTTCCTTCATCTGCACAGAAATTTGCATTTTCTCATATTACATGTGAATGTTTTTGTCCAGTTGTGAGTGGAGTATTTTCTCCTGTGCATTGCTACTGTTATAAAGCTTTGGTCAGTTCTCTGAAAATGTTAGTAACCACCTTTATTTCCCCTATAAGTGGTTTTATTTGTAAGGTGACTCTATGCAGCAGCAACAGTAAGCCCCGGTTCACTTTATGAATCACACAGGAACACACAGCATGTTCCTGTTTGATTCACATGCAAATCGGTGTAGTGTAATTTGAGCCCATTTATTCTGAATGGGCTCAAATCATCAGATATTGCACTGAAAGTAGGCATGCACTACTTTTGGAAATGCACTGCAACAGGGCTACATGATACATTTATACCATGTGATCCGGTGCAGGCAAATGCACTGCTTTTCTACCTGTATTTAGGGTGTCGCTAACTTTACATTGACACCCCTGCTGATTGCAACTGTAGTGCGTTCTTAACAAGGTGCGGGAAACCTGCACAGATTGCAGGTTGCCCGCACCGCGTTCTAGTGTGAACCGGGACTAAGGGACTGAGTAAAAAGTGTTTTATTCTAGTCAAAGTCGTTGCAATGCAAAAACTGTTTGAAGCAGGTCAACTGCAGGTTAGAAGAAAGTCAACTGCAGGTCAAATGCACCTGTCAAATAATTCTGAATGATCTTAGAAGCATCTCAAACTGATGTCAAATTGATGCCATCAACGCAAGCCCAAATCCTGTAGGCACCAGTAGGTCACTGAGTCCTTAATCAAAATAACAATTTTGAAGGTTTAATTTTTTTTAGACTGCTAATTACCCATGAATATAGCTTAACATCTCACTTACCAGTTGTCTGTTTAAGCAGTTCCAATCCATTCTGTATGGCCTGGTCCACGTTTTTCTTCCTGAGCACAATATCTTCCTGAAGGAGCTGTCAGAAAGCATTTAAATTGTGATCATATATAAGTCTACTGAAATGAATGATGTCTATGCCTTAAATGGATCTACAAGTTAAACCTATTTTGCATAATTGATCAGAGCGAGGAAGGTCAGCACTACTCTGATTCATGTTTCCCATTTCATGGGTCACTGGGATAGGAAGTAAGGGGAAAACGGGTGGGCATAAATATACTTATTAGTAGAGTGGGGAAAGTTTTGAACCTCTGCCAAGTTTTTACTGCAGTCCATTTTCCTGCTGGGGAATTCTCCATTATTTCCTTTATGGTCATTAAAGCAAAGACTGTATTGAAAAGTTCTAACCCTTCTCTACTTTAGTACAGCAGTGTCAAACTTGATTGCATTGTGGGCCGCACCGGTATTATGGTTTTCCTCAAAAAGCCAGTTGAATCTGTAAGTCTGTATGCAGATTTCAGAAGTGTGCTGCATACAGAGTGCAGAGTTCAGGAATACACTATGTACAGAGTGCAGGGTTTAAGGCTGTGTTATGTACAGAGTGCAGAGTTCAGGAGTATGCTATGTAGAGTGCAGTGTTTAAGGGTGTGCTATGTACAAAGTGCAGAGCTCAGGGGTATGCAGAGTACAGAGTGCAGGGTTGAGGAGTACTCAACATGCAGAGTGCAGGGCTTAGGGGTTCAACTCTCTTTCACAGGCTGTCCATAGCTCACTTCCACCCCTACTCTTTGGCTCTTCTGACCTTTGCACCCCTTTCCTCCATTCCCCACCTTTGCACACATCTCCAACCACATCCCTCGCCTCATCTCTCCCCCCCCCCCCAAAAGGCTTCCTTGCATCGCACCTACCCAGCCCAGCTCTAGTACTTCCCGGCAGTGTAGGCAGCTCCCCCTTCCTATCTTATACTTGCATGGAGAGCATCTGTCCCTGCCATGCCCCAACCTGAGTGCATGCAGGGCAGACAGAGATCTGTGAGAGCCACAAGCCACTGAGACGAAAACTGTCCTTGTAAAAACAGAAGGCTTTCGGAGAGGAGGTCAAGAAAAGCTCTGGCTGCGATGGCCCTGGCATGCCGGATTTGGACTGCGGACCTTGTGTTTGACATATGTACTTCAGTACATCTACGATAGCATTTGGATGCACTTATAACATCTTTTTTTAATCCAAACAACTTTTATTGTCAAGATAATAGAGAAAATGGAAACTTATAACATATTTAGTGAGATTTAAACTTGAATGCTGTAAGATAGAAGACATATTGAACCCGTCCCCAAAGGCAGACAACTGAAAGCTACCCATGTTTATACTGATAATTCAATAGAGGTGAGACCCTATAGAAACTAGTACATACTTAAAGTGGTATTAAACAAAAAAAAACAGTTATATATTGCAGTTTATCAATCTTTAAATGTGGTGGCTACATTAGTTTTTTTTCCCTTATTGTCACCTGGTGATATGGCCAGTAATACACTCTGGACGGAGGAGCAAAAGGTCCACCTTTGGTCAGCAACACTGTCAATCTGGGGAGAGGGTAGTGTTAGAAGCACTATCAGATTTAGGTGGACTTAAAAAAACTTAAAGCGGGACTCCTGCTAACACTTTTAAGCAATTGTTTGTTTTCTTAATAGGTTCTACATAAAGGTTTTAAATAAATGAATACAAGTGCATCATTGTAACACCTCCGTCAGTGTTAAATGGTGTGTCTCAACCATCTAACTGCCACTTCTGCTGGATGGCTTAGTCAATAAGCCTTAGTGTGTTAAAGGAAATAGAAAAAAAACAGACTCTATTCCAGTCCTCCTGCATGAATTTAAAACATACCAGGCCCTATTCAAATATAAGATACATTTGACAAAATCTGAAGCTCTAATTATTATGCCTTCTACAAGCATAAACAACATCAACTTCAACTTCCCCTTCAGATGGGCACCTAGCAAGTTCAAATACCTGTGCATCTATCTTACTCCTTCTCAGAGGATACCTTCCAGGAAAACGTCCTTTAGTTTATGACTTGGATCAAACAAGATCTACATTCTTGGAATAAGCTTGCCCACACTTGGTTCAGAAGAAATAACATCTTAAAAATGAATATCCTACCCTATATCTCCTGCAAACTTTCACAATACAGATTCCACTGGGAAGATAATCCTGTGGCTCTACTCCTACACTTCAGTGCGCTCTCCGAAACAATGTAAACATTTACTTACTCACTTTATTAATGCAACAATGACCTATATACCTTCAAATGGAAGAGAAGTAATCCTCCCACAGTGGGTCAGTGGTTATTGATGGTGACTGAGGGTCTCCCGCTATCTCTCTCTCTTAGAAATGATGAGAGTAAATTTAAAAAAACACAGTTTTACTGGCAACAATCCAGATACTGTTCAGAATACAAGGAGGCCTTAGCAAATCATGAGTGAGAAAAATACCGCATTCTAATTCACTTGCCCACCTTTCTTTATATCTCTTAAAAACTGGGGTTTACTACTGTTTGCCGGTAAACATAGGTCCATGTGACCTCCTTTCATATCAATATGAATGACTCCACTTGGCTCTCTTACAAGATGACCTGTATTAAGTGGTTTACATTGTAGCCCATTGTTCTGGGCTTCAGACAGCTCATATGTTTCTCAGTTTTTGTACCTATTTTATGTCCTGGAACAATACAGAGTCACATATTTTGCACAACAGGGGCTTTTATGTGTACTATAAATAAAGAATTAAAAAAAAAAATTTACTGGCCATATCACCAGGTGAAAATAAAGGAAATTGGCTAAAAGAATAAAACTAATGCAACCATAGCATCTAACTACTGGTAAGCTTCAATACAATACACCTTTGTTTTCGGGTATAATACCACTTTAGTCAGAAGTTTAATATTGCTAAAGTAACCACCTTCAGATAAGATTCCAAGTTTTAAAAAAACAACACTTGGTCCTAAGTAGGTAATCTGTTTGTTGTTGACATTAATTTCACTTTCAGGGGAAAGAATCCTAATCTACCCAAATGCAATTTACACATGCCAGCCAATGCATAGCATCTCTTTCTTCTCAGCAAGCCTGTTAAAATGGATTGTATATATGGTGCTGAAAAAAGAGATATAATCATAAAAGTAAAAGTGTAAATCAAATGGTGACAAACATGAACAGAATATATAACATAAAAGAACAAACAAAATACCAGCAATTCAGTGTGCTGCCTTGTGAGTACATCTGTACTGTAATCTTGAACTGACAGTTTGCTCAGCTTGTCAAGTACTTCAGTCAGCCAGTTCATCAGCTCAACTTCATCATCCCCAAAAATCTGAGCATTGCAGTGTGCCTGCTGTAGAAGTTCGTTTCTCCTGCTACTTCTCTCTTGGATCTCCATGTACCGTGTCTGTGAGATATCTATTTTTTCCTGAACCATCTCCTTCTCTTCTGTGGAACTCAGTGCCTTTAATGACTTGCCAATGCTCAGAGATTGGTGCAATAGTGAATTGTGAGCTGTAATGTCGTCTTGTAGTGCCTGAATGAGGAGGGTGTATCCAACAAAAAAAAAGGAGGAAAATATGGCCAAATGAAATAAACACAAAATGATAAAGATGAAACATAAAAATCAATCAGCACGTTGTTAGTTTATTCAGGCAGTGAGAAAGGAAGAGATGAGCTTCATAGCTGACTTGTCAAAACAATTAGCACTTTCTGAGGTTAATATTCTTCAGGCGAAGTCTTTTAGTGAAAAAGTTTTCAAAGTGAAGGAGCTGAACAAAGTTAGTTAGACAAAAAGCACAAGCATAGAAAGCTACTTGAAGCACTAACTTTTTTAGGCTATAATAAATATATTTGTTAATCAAACAATAAGACCTCATGCAAGTGAGCACTTTTGGACATGCAACATAAATTGCTGGTTTATTGCAGTGCCCAGGGTACACAGCTGCTGCGCTGCATAGTAATGCATGGCTGTATGCAGGCTTAATCTGCTGCTACCATAAACCCGCACATGGAAAGGCTATACGCAGACTGTCTGCATCTATGGTTGTACACCCGAATGCATGCGCAGGTTGCACAAGTAGCATACATCCATTCTTTACTATGTATATCCATTCTTTACCATGGGTATCTCTATGCAGCATCTTTGTATCCTAGGAGCAGAAATATGCTCGAAAAAATGACGTTGCCTGAACAGTAAGTCCCATATGCATGAAGTCCAAGGCCCTAAGGGATCACAATGCAACAGCACTTAAAAGGTATGTTCACCTTTTCATGAAAAATGAAATTGTGAACTAACTCCAAATATCCTGGTCATCCCTCTGAACCTCACTCCACATAGCAGCCGTTAGGCCCCATGCTGCCATTGTTGCAGGCTGTACACCGCAATACACAGTCCCCCAAGTAAGTATCCACTATAAAGCTTGCAATGGTAAGTGCTCATTGGTCAGCACAGCCACATGACCATGCTGACCAATAAGAAGCGCATCTGAGGCTTCTTCTTCTGGTAAGGTGTCCCAGAAGAAAAAAAATGATTCTCAATGGTCGGGGCAGTTACATTGTTTCACTGAATAATGATGCTTGCCATTGCAAGCATTATGGTGGATACTCAGTCCTGGGCTGTGTATTGTATACAGCCTGCTACACTGGCAGCATGAGGCATCACGCCCACTATGTGCAATGGATTCCGAAGGGGTGGCCAGGATATTTGGAGTTAATTCACCTTTCCATTCTTTGTGAAAAGGTCAACTTACCCTTTATAGCATACTAAAGTTGCCTATGAAAATATCTTATCACATACAATAAGTATTGGAAATGCTACTTGAGCATTACATAAGTGCCGTGGCTCCATAAAACAGGGCCTAATGGTCATTTACGAGTCACAGACTATGAGGATGCGTGGTGAAATCACACTTTGTGTACCCATATGTCTCAAATCTACTGAATCAGAAACAAAGTATTTGTCCCAGCAGCTCTAATGCAGGGTCCATGATGCAATTCCAGTCTATGCTAAACATTCACTGATTATTAAAAATGTAAAAAAATATTATAACAAATCATTCCAATTTAAACCGATTGTGCACACTTGTAATTTAAAAATAAAATTGGCTTAGTCTTCAAAATTAAAAAATAAAATAAATAAAAGTTAGTGCTTCAATATCAAGATTATAAAGAGAATGAAGATGAATAAAAACCTTTGAATATAGTTTTTCTTACTTTGTGCTGAGAAATCTGCTCCAGAAGTTTAGATGTCTGTGTACCAATGGGTTCTGCATTGGCAAGCTTCTTTTCTGAGTTACTGAGCCACTCAGACAGAGGTTCCAAGGTGTCATGGAACTGTTCTGCAACAATCAATATACCTTCCAGCTGACGATTCCTACAGATGATAACATTAATGTATCATATTACATCATTATATCATGTTAGCCATTCTTTTTTTCTCTGTCTACATTTTAAATTTTCAGGTATCTTTTTGTGCAACGTAGTAGCAGGTTTGGCTGGCAGAAGTAGTCAGAATGAGATAGAGAAGGATGTGAAGCAAAAGAATGCCATACTGTCTGTTGGCTTGGTGGAACTTTGACATAAGCAGTATAAAACAAATTTACATTAACACCTGTTAAACATTTATCCTTTTCAACATGGTGGTCAAATGAATATGGAAAATAGCCTCAAAGCAAGCCAAGGCTACCTTCCCTTCGATGACCCATAGTGCTATGTGGTTGCAAGCAGGACTGCAATTTCTACTCTGCAGAAAAAAACCCTTAATGAAAATTTAGAGAAGTTATGAACAGAAATTTGAAATGAAATCTCAGTCATCTAAAGCATTTTCCTTAGCACCATAGCGAAAGGCTCACCAGACACGTTACAATCTGACCATACAATCTCTGTATGATGAATTTTAGATTTATCAAAACTATATAATATGAGGACCTACCTAACTATCCAATCAATTTGTATTCAACTGGACAGGTCCTAGCACAACCTACTTGTGGGTAGATCTAAAGGAAATTGTGCAATTAGATTGCAATGTGAGTGGTGAGCTTTAGGTAACACCGTGATAGTCCTAAACTGTAGCTGCTAAAATATTTAGCATTTTTTATTAAATCCTAAGAGAGATATGATCAGACAATGCAGACATGATATTAAAGTAAGCTGTATCCGGCAATGCTGTGCTCCATCTTCTTTATAAAGACAAATAATAAGGTTGTGTTGTAATTACATTAAGGGATCCTAATGACTTCACCGGAGCAGAGAGAAAAGCCAGATCCACAACATGTAATTACATAGTTAAGTAAACAGTTTTGGGCGGATTCAACATATTATTATTCTAGGAAAAGCATGCATTGGCTTCAGCTTCTCGACAGTTTCACTTCTGCACTTATGAACTCGTCTGCTGCTTCCTTCACTTTATTGTTATCATTACTTTGGCTCTCTATGCAATAATATATTGAAATTTTTAACTGATGTATGGTTGGAGCACAGCAGAAGTTCATAAACATTAATACACAGATATGAAAGTGGAATTACCATGACTTATTCTCAGATTAGTAAGGCTATATAAAATATTACTTAGTGATCACTCAGAAATATTTAATAATATGAAATATGTGCTGTGTTTAAATAGTACGTCAGTCAATGCTGGGTCATGAGACAGCTCGGGGAAAGACTAGAAATGTGCAAAAAGCTCTTTGGCACACACAGAAAAGTGAACAGACCTCAATGTTACAGTATATCAGACAGCATGGCTTTCTTCTCTGTGCATCTGGTACACTAATCTTAGATTGCTTCAATAAAGATAAACCTTTTCTAATGAGAACCACTACAAAACATGAGCCTCGTGTACTTAAATACAATAAATGATTGCATCTTGGAGGAGCTTTTCAAGAATCGAATAAAACATTTGTATTTATATTTTCTTCTACACTTACATATACCCAGTGAAATAACTTGCCTCAGCTAATACACAGAGATGAAACAAATCATCCTACATAAGTTGTACCGGTGTACCTGCAGCCCTCCCTTTACAGACATTCAAAGTACATAGACCCAAGTCTATACAGGCGTACCTCGTTTCTGAATTTATTGCGTTCTCCAGGACGTTTCGTATTGCAAAAAATTTGTAAACCAAATGCAGTTTCTCATAGGAATGCTTTGAAAACCAATTAATCCGTTCCAGAGGTCAGAAAAAAGTAAAAACAAAAAAAGTATTTTATCTGTTCAAAACTCTTTATAAAGTGCACTTTAATGGCAAAAATACTGTACAGGGACATGATTAAAAATTTCCAGAATGGCTCCAAAACTCGATGCAAAAACCGCTTCAACACCTCCACACTCAACGCCACGTGCTACCCACAGACTCCAGCATTCATGGGGCCAGCCCTATAAACCTCCCAGGCACAATTCATCCTAGGGAAACTTGCTTCGTATTGCGAAAAAAATTTGTAAATGCATTTAAAACCAATTAATCCATTCTGGAGGTCAGACAAAAGTAAAAAAAAAAAGTCTTATCTGTTCAAAACTCTTTATAACGTGCACTTTAAAGGCACAGGGCCGATGCTCTAAACCTCCCAGGCACAATGCATCCTGGGGAAACTTGCTTCGTATTGCAAAAAAAATTGTAAACCGAGGCATTATTTTCAATGGATTTTCATTCGTAAACCGAAAATTATATTAACCGAGGCGTTCATAAACCGATGTATGCCTGTATCTGAGTTTCCAAAAGGCAGGGGCCTGGGATCTGATGTCACATACTTCACAGCATAGAGCAGAGATTTGAGTGTAATCTGAGACTTGAGTGGAGAGAATGGACACACCTCCTCTACACACTGTCATAGGGAAACATGCACAGATGAGGCTGTCGGTCACCTGCTGTGCGCTGGAGGGAGTCGGGGCAATCTCCAGGCATTGTCTGGTGTTAGCATAAACTAAAGTGACTCAAATAGATAGCAAAGGAATGGGAGAGAGAGATAGAAATCACGCTCAGTGCTTTGGAGAGAGGCAAATACACACTAATGAAGGGAACGCATTGTTCATTTTTAATTTCAGAGGTTTACAACCACTTTAACAATAATAAGTTTAGTCACTTTTATTTTGTGTTACTTTAGTAAATTTTAAAACTGATGATTTACATATACAGTATATAATCTTTGTTTTACAATTATACATTAAAGTACAGGGTGAACAACCCTGGTTTTTTACAAACAGAGCACAGCAGAAGCTATTTCCTTTCAGACGTTCTGTCTTTGAAATGATTGTAGAGAACCATCTGAACAGGCAAGACAGAGGTAGGGAAGCCATTCACTTGTGTGTGAAAATATCAGCAAACATTAAACCTGTGCTTTGTCCATTAAGCACAATACAATGGGTTCAACTAAATGGCACCCTTCCTAGCTTCACTTATTCACTTCCTTTGTGCCTTCTCTCTATTCTATTCACCCAGCGACATATGAGCGGAATCCAGGTTTAACCTCCCTAGTGGTCTGATTATGTCAATATTTCTGTGCTCAAAGCGGTACATTTTTTGCATGGAAATATGTTGTTTTTTTATTGTAGGCCTGTAATTTTTAGGAATAACACACTGAAATCTGTCCAAACAAGAGTCTAGTAAACATCCCGGGTATGATAAAATTTGAAACATGAAATCATAAATTAAAATATAATAATCATAAAAAATAATAATATAATGATAAGAAAATTAATTCAATAATATAACCAAACCAAAAATGCTGAAATTTGAAATAGAGCACCAAGTTCGCATATCACTGATCTTGGTTGCAAAATCGTTTTCGATGAAGACAAATTTCCCACAAATCATTATCACTCACTTCTGCAAGTGGTTCTAATTTACTATCTCTGTTCTCTAGCCGGTCTAAAACTGCTTTTGACCTAAAGGGACGCTTTTTGGACGCCATGGTTGTTTCTCAGTTTCCAGGCAGAAAAAACAGTAAAAATGCAGGCAGGGCACAGGACAAAGCACTCGGGACAAAATGTATGTGAAATGGTTTGATACAGTAATGTTTTACTATGTGATTTTAGTGTATTGAGAGAATGTCACATTTTAACATTTTTGAATTTCCCGCTGATTCCGTCCCCGTACGTCCCAACGCTTGCAGGGAATGGAACCCAGAAGACGGATGCCAGCATTGGCCAGAGGAGATGGCCGGGGACGCTGCAGGGGGGACATCACAGGTGCAAAGGACAAGGTAAGTGCTGGAAGGAATCCCTGAGCAACTCTGCAGTGTATTCCCGAGTGTAGCTCGGGGTTATCGCTTCTGGTACTGAAAGTTTACCCCAAGCTATACTCGGGAATACTACCGGGGGCTTATAGAAGAACTCGGGGACAGGCAAAAAAAATCTCCCATTAGTACACCCCCTACACAAAACACTAAACAGTTAATATAATTCTGAAAATGCTTACCATTTAGGAGAAAAGTCTAATTGAAATTTCGTTACGTCATCTTTGTAATTCAAAAGAGAACAGCATCTGCTCTTCCAAGGAGGAGGTGTAGCAGCAGGGATTACATCATATCCTCTCCTCTTTCTCTGCAGTAAAAGCAAACTACAGTTCCCATCAACTACAGGGAATTGTAGGGAATGTGGGTGGGTACACTGGGCCTATACTTGTTGAATGTGTCTGAAAGTCTTGGTCTGCCCACCACTGCAAGAGGGGCTGAATAACATCGCTGCTTTCTGGAGAAAGAACTACAGAAGGGATGTGCTGAGAAGCCATAGCATTCCCCCAGTGGCTGGGGGAATAGGAGGCATAGCAGTCACCGTTCTTACAAACCGGAAACAACAGAGAATTAATGGTTTGATTTGAAAATGAATTTTAGAGCAACTACTGAGTGAACCAAAAGATGGACAACATATTCAGTGAAGGTAGGAAATCAGCAACAGGGACATTTAAAGAAATTTTTGTCTGGAGTTTGCTTTAAGTGCTCTCCCTGCCCCCTATGGCCATGCTAACTGGATGTGTGGCCAATCACATTGCTGTCAAATGGCAGAAAGGAGGATTCAAAAGCTCCCAGTAGCTGAATGTATGGGTATTTCTCATTACCTCCAGTGGCTAGACAGAGACATTGGTAGGTGAAGGTATGAGCAGTTGCAGAGATTAGAAGTCTAGTCAACGTGTTGCTTTTCCCTGCATAAACAAAGCACAGGATCAATTTAAGCTGCTGGACTCTAAATGGCAGGATTTTCTCTTTTAAAATATATTAGAATTAGGTTTTATAGGGAGGGATATGATAGTACAGCTAAAGCTGGCTATACACTTGTAGAATTTTGTTGGAAATGTTTTGGTGTAAGAACATGCATTTAATTGTCCAATTGTTAGTGGTGTCAAATCGACATTCATTTTACAACAGTAACAAGAAAATT